GAGGTGTGTTCGTACTTTTCTCTGAAGACTTTCTATATCCGTTTTAGTCCACTTAATAATGCCAAATGAGTAGCTAAGCGCGGAAAATGCATAGGTGTTTAATGCCTTAAACAAATTTTTACTATTAAGATGTGAGCGGAGTAGCTGTTTTACCCTCCGTATGAACTCTGATGTTAATTCGATTTTCATTTGTTTATGGTCAATTTTCCGCGCTTGCTTTACTCCTAGATATCTATACATGTCATTTTCGCCCATAGCCTCGATGTTTTGGCCATTTTGCATATCGAATCCCCCGGGCTGAACCTTTCCCTTGACTATATTTAGTACACGACATTTGTCTAACCCAAAGTGCATACTGATATCATTTGAAAAAGTTTCTACAGTTTTTAGCATTTGATCTAAGTGAGTTCGAGTGGAAGCCATTAGTTTCAAATCATCCATATACAACAGATGATTGAGCTTCGCCACTACAGTGTTGTTGTTTTTAATGCTAAAACCTGAGTCAGTGGAGTTCAATAGCTGGGATAGTGGGTTCATCGCTAGACAGAACCACAAGGGACTTAGCGAGTCTCCTTGGAATAGGCCGCGGTTAATTGCGATATTTTCCGTTTCGATATTGTTTTCACCAGGTATTTGAAGGTGAATTTTAGTCTTCCAATCTGTCATTATATGTTTTAAGAAGGTCACTATATTATCATCGACTTTATATATTCTTAATATATCTACAAGCCATTCATGCGGCACTGAGTCAAAGGCTTTCTTATAGTCAATAAAGGCGGTAAAGAGGTTCCTTTTTTTGGTGTATGCCTGGTTAGAAATGACTGAGTCGATAATAAGTTGTTCTTTGCAACCCATGGAGCCCTTAGCGCATCCTTTCTGTTGAGGTTCTATGATATTGTTTAGAGCGCAGTGTTGGTAGATACGCTGGGCTACACAGGATGTGACCAATTTATACAGAGTTGGAAGACACGTAATTGGGCGGTATTTGGCTGGATCTTGGGTGTTATTTTGATCCTTAGGTATTAAATAAGTTGTTCCCTGAGTTAGGAATGATGGTATTTCCTGCGGATTAGAAATAACACGATTAATTAATGTTGACAGGCACTCATGAGCACTCCAGAACTTCTTAAGCCAGAAGTTTTGAACTCCATCTGGTCCAGGAGATTTCCAGTTATGAAGCTCTTTGATGATATTAGAGACTTCTTCTGTGGTGAAGGGTTCATAACCAGTTGTGCGGTAGTGTTGACAGCTGTGCGTCGTATCTTCTATCCATCCAGCATTGGTGTTAAGAGCAGCTGGTGTGGAAAGTTGATTTCCCCAAAACTCCTGAATGTCTTCTTGGCTTGGGTATGATTTATTGGCACTTTCGACAGTGGAATTAAGTTTCCGATAGAACGCCTTCTCGGCATGCTCAAAAAGCGCATTGTCACATTTCCGGCTGTTGCTAACCTTGTACCTCCTTAGTCGTCCTGAGTAAACGGAGAGTTTTTGTTTTAATGTATCCAGGCACTGATGGGCTGTGATGTTTACTGGATCATATTGCGAGTGTCTTGCAGTGCTTAGCATTATTTGATCAGCTCTTTTAACGACTTTTCTACTTGTTGTTCCTCGTATATATTCTGTCATTTGACCAATGTCCCTACGCAATAATTCAATCTTGTTTAGGAGCCGTTTCTCCCAGGGTGCTACTCTGTTATCAGTCCTTCCGGCATTAGTACCCCGTCGTGTTCTGATCTTAATTCCCATTACATTAGCTGTTGCTGTTGCTGCACAGTAAATAAGCATATGCAAATATTCCAGCGTATGGGCTTCTACGACGTAATTGGGTAGGACTTCAGTATTTATAATTTGTAACAGAGCACCTAGTTTTTTAGAAGAGTTTATTTTTGGTAGCGGTGGTCTGCTAAGTGGATTTGTTCCATTAAACTCTTGTACAGCTCGTGCCATTTCGCTTACCAGAGTATCACGTAACTCGTTGTTGTCCTGTAGTGTATTATCAGGTTGAGTTTCTTGTATGGTAAGCTCAGGGATCTGCTCATGTCTTTCATTAGGGACTTGATCTACATTTAACTCTTGGTGATTAATCTCCCGTTCGACTTCGCTTCTGATGGTATTGCGTCTAGCCTCTGGGATAAGATTATTTCTTATAATTACCCGGTATTGATCAGCAACTCGTTGTTCAGTTACTTGAATTTCTGGGTACTCCCTGCAAAATTCGGCATAGAGATTTTGTCGATACCCGATCGTCTCTTGACCGAGGTTTGTCACCTGGTAATAGAAGCGCAAAATATTCTCATTTATGGACGCAGTCCATTTCATGCGCTGCCTCGGTCGTCCCGCTTGGGTGAGCGCCGGCTGATGTTCCAGCACAGCACCTTCAGCGAGTGGAGCTCTTGTTGTTGTTTGGCTCGCTTGTGGTTGTTCTTGCTGTTGTTGTTGGGCTGTAGCTGATTGTATGACAGGGGCCCGCCTCCTCAACACCCTGCCACCGACGTCCCGCATGCTGTCACGTCCAGCGCCGGCTCCAGACGTGCCCTGGCGATCCCCAGGCAGCGACCCTAAACATAAATTACTATACTCCATTATAATGGGTGTGCATTTTATACCTACTGCCAGGTGTCAGTTTTTGTTCCACGACAGGTATTCCTGTTACCCTCTGGGTATCTGCGCTACGGATACCCAGAAAGCATCCCCCATTCGCAGGGGGCCGCGCCTGATAGAAGAACTGATAAAAACTCCCACAGGCTATTATTATTATTATTATTATTATTATTATTATCCCAGATTTAGCCATACGGCTCACACTCCCTCTAAGGGGAAAATTCACTCATCCCAGATACCTACGGTATCAAAAGGATTGAGCTCTTTTGGGACTCTTTCCGTGTTATCGAGCCCTAGGTGACTTGGTATGTCGAAGTATCTCCCAGAAATTTTCGTACACATCTGGAGGTCGCGAGGAGTACAGCTTTCTGCATGGCCTTATAAAGATGTTCATTTAGACCCAGCTGTTTTATGTTCACAAGGAGGTTCTTGGGAATAACACCAGTAGTAGATAGAACAATAGGTACTGTCTGGGTACTTTCCATTCTCCATTGTCTCTTGATTTGTATTTCCAGATCCCTATACTTGGCGATCTTTTCGTTGTATTTAACAAGCAAATTGTTAGTGTTAGGTATCGCCCCATCAATAAGTGTTGTTTGCCTGGTAATTTTATTCACTGGTATGAGATCCGGTCTGTTATGGGCCACTGGTTGGTCTGTGAGCACAGTGCGGTCCCAGTATAGCTTGTAGTTGTCATTTTCAAGCATTCTGTCAGGGACATATTGATAATAAGGAAGATGGTCGGTTTGGAGAAGTCCCAGTTTGTCAGCTAGTTCTTGGTGGATAATCTTTCCTACTGAGTCATGGCGTTCTTTATAATCAGTACCGACAAATGCCTGGCAGCCACCGGTAAGATGTTGGATGGTTTCTTGGGCTTGGCATCCATATCGGCATTTGTCATTTTGGACTTGAGGATCTTTAACAATATATTTCAGGTAATTTTTAGTTGGAATAACCTGATCCTGAATGGCAAGTAGGAAACCCTCAGTCTCGGGAAACATCTTTCCTGATGTCAACCAATAGTTCGACGCTGTATTGTCGACATATTCTTGGTTGATCTCATTGAGATGTCGCCCATGCAGAGGTTTACTCATCCAGGTGCGCATTTTTTCTTGCTTAGTCAGATGTTTTGTGCGCATTTCTTGTTCCCTCAGTTTAAGCGGCGTTGTGTCATCTACTGCGCAAATTGCTCGATGTAAAGTAGATATCTCAGCCTGTACCTGAAAATAAGATCTTAAATTAGCAATTTGTTTATCTAATTGCTCACCTATATCCATAAGTCCTCTTCCTCCTTGATACCGCGGTAATGTTGTTCTCTCTACTGCACTGCGTGGATGATGTTTTTGCGCCTTTGTGAGAAGTGTTCTTACTTTCCGCTGAAGACCCTCTATATCCGTTTTTGACCACTTTATAATACCAAATGAGTAGCTCAGCGCGGAACAGGCGTACGTATTTAATGCCTTAAACAAATTTTTACTATTAAGATATGACCGATTTAGTTGTCTTATTCTTCGCACGAACTCCGAAGTTAGTTCAGTTTTCATCTGTTTATGGTCAATTTTCCGCGCCTGTTTTACTCCGAGATATTTGTAAATATCATTTTCACCCATTGCCTCGATGTTTTGGCCATCTTGCATATCGAAACCTCCGGGCTGAACCTTTCCTCTGACTATATTAAGTATACGGCACTTGTCTAGTCCAAAGTGCATACTGATATCATTTGAGAAAGTTTCTACAGTTTTTAGCATCTGATCTAAGTGATTTCGAGTGCAAGCCATTAGTTTCAAATCATCATTATTATTATTATTATTATCCAGATTTAGCCATACGGCTCACACTCCCTCTAAGGGGAAAATTCACTCATCCCAGATACCTACGGTATCAAAAGGATTGAGCTCTGGTGGGACTCTTTCCGTGTTATCGAGCCCTAGGTGACTTGGTATGTTGGAGTATCTCCCAAAAATTTTCGTACACATCTGGACGTCGCGAGGAGTACAGCTTATTATTATTATTATTATTTATAGTGTGTGTAATATTAATTTGTTTTGTTGTAAAATCCACTTTTGCAATAATTATGTGACCTATTTGATTTAAAATGAATTCAGGATTTTTTATACTTTGGCAACTATGTCAACTTCGATCTCTGACAATGCAACGAGCAAAGGTAAGTAAATTAGATGAAGTATATAATAATCATGGACATGCCTTTTTTTCAGTCACTGCCAACTTAATGCACTATGACTATTATGTAAGGGTTTGGTTTGAACTCTATATTTACTATATACCTATATTTTTGATATCTTAAACATTTCAGATACTTTTAGATACAAATTGCATTTTATGCCTTCGTGTTGCCACTATTAATTTTTTATGTTATATATTTGTGTCCTAACTTTTAGGTTTACAATGAGCGGTGAAGATAAACCGAAAATGATGTGCAAAATCAAATGTAACGGTCAAGGGCCAGTAGTATCGTACATTCCAGACGAACTGAACTTTGGAAACGTAACTTTACTTACGACCAAAATTAAGAAATTAAGACTTTTAAATGATTCACCAATTCCGGCCGTAATAAAAATAAAAATAGTAAGATAATAATCTCTTATCATCTCTTCTCTTTTCCTATCATAGTGATTTTAATACTCTCCAACGTTCTATGCTTTTATATCCTAGATAAAAATTATTATGCTTCTTTTTTCTTACGACAAATCATTCTTCGTAGGTTGATATCTTATTGATAAACTTCATAATTAATTCAGTAGGTCGACACAGTCTCAAAATTTACTTTGTAGAACAACTTCTCTTAAAATTTAGAGTCAAATATTAAAATTCAAGATTAGATAGGCTTAGGGTAAAGGGAGGAGAGATGGACCAGAAGGATAGTCGATCCTCTGTTATTTACGATAATTGAAACTGCTACTAGTGTGCCAGTGCCCTGGGGAAAAAGTTGAAATGATCAGTGTAATAGCTTGCTGTAGTGTAGAAGGGATTTTCTTGTCCTCATAGTGGATTTTTAAGGGAAAAAATAAAAAAGACGAGCGGCATTATGGTATGCCACCGGGTTCCAAGATTAGAATGTCGGAAAAATCAGCATACCGTAACAGTGACTTTTTCTTAGAATGGTTACAAACACACTTTTTGCCGAGAAAGCCCCCAGGTAAAACCCTATTAATTTTAGGTAAAGGTGAGTCACATATCCCATACGACCAACTACTAGAATTTGCAGACCGAAACAAATAATTTTTTTTTGTTTGCCTTCCCACACAACACATTACCTACAGCCTCTGGATCGTGTTTTTTTTTAAATTTTATGCTGAATACCGTTTTAGGTCGAGCATGGGGAAACTCAACAACTGTCCAAAATGCGGCTTTTGTATTTAAATCTAGGAGCATTTATCCGTTTATTCCATTAATAACCCCAGAATATGCATTTTTGACACACACCCCATCAGAAACATATACAATGAATTTTCCAGTTGGATCAGAATCTCCTCAACCAGGTCACTCTGAAATCAGTGGTAAAATATCCTTGCACGGTAGCCCAAACAAGTCGTCAATTACTGATGAAGATATAACCCCGGAAAGGCTCTTGGTGAGGTAACGCCCGTACCTGTATTGGCAACAGCAGTAAAGAGAGTTCGTAAAAAAATAACCGAAGAGATTACTGCTCAAGACTTTTAAAATGAAGAAGAATGCCTTGATTAAAAAAGCTCAAAAGTTATAAAAAAAACAAAAATTTAAGAGAAAGTAAAACGAATCGTCACTATCTAAAGATGTTACTCTAAAAGACACTAGTGGTGATGAAAACATGAATGGTGATTAAAAATAAGTGTGTTTGGTGCAACGAGGACTATCGCCAAAGTTGCAAAAAAGATGAATGGTTACAATGTATTTTTGTATGCGCTGGTTACATAAAACTTGTACTGGCTTCGCTAATCTCTGTAACAAGTGCGGAAAGTCTCTTGCTATTAAAAACAAAAAGGTTTACCTTGGTCCATCTCTCGTACTCCTAGTGTTTTAACTTACCTTCACAGTTGAGGAGAGATGGACCGTCAGCGTGCCAGTGCATTATATTTTTTTTTAGGTTTAAGAATTATAATTTCTAGGTTTTACTTATACCAAAATAAATACCAATGTTAAGTTATGTTATACAATTTTTTTCTATTCTGATGTTTATTTAATAAAGAAGCAGGCTTCAGTTTTCTAAAGGGTGGTCTATCTCTCTTCCCTTTGCCCTATTTATTTAAATATGTTTTTAACAGCAATATCCTTAATTTAGGAACCACCAGGAGCGATTAAATTATCCCATTATAATTTTGAAATACCACCAGAGGATGAACAGATCATTGAAACTGAAATGTATTTAAAAGATAATGTAAAAATTGCAAGCCAGGTAAGGAATATATTTTCCACTATTGGTTAAATATGTTATAAAATACACACACTTAAAAATGTTTTGCATATTATCTATAACGCCACTGAACGTTTCCAATTTGAAATTTTTTGCACTGATTTTTTTTGTCCACTAAAATAATGTATTTTACTGCTTGTTTTTGTTTCTTAATCGTCGCAGAGATTCTTAGAATTCATATTGTGTTCATCAGTTTTCAAAAACTGATATTTGTAACAATTGGTTTGCGTTTTATTCACTTTGTAGTAAACAATATGAATAGGCAAGTGATATCTGAGTTCAACAGAGCTAGAATCGTTACTTTGATTAAGGAAGGCCACACACAAGTCGACGTTGCTGTCCAGGTTGGAGTTAATCAGAGTGATGTGTCTCGGATTGTGAAGAAATATCGAGAGACGAATTCTATTAGCGATCGTCCAAAAAGCGGAACACCCAGAATTACTACCATGTCCAAGAACGCTTTTTAACGTTAACTGCCCGGAGAAACCCCTCTATGACTGCCCCAGCTATTAGAAGAGAGCTCCAGCAAGCTCATAATATTGTAATTTGCGATCAGAATATTAGAAACAGGTTGCATTCGGTGAATTTATTTGCAAGAAGACCATTGTTTGTACCAAAGCTTACGTTAGAGCAGAAAAGGACTCGACTGGAATGGGCCAATAAACATTTACAATGGCATGACAACAGATGGGGAAAGGTCTTATTTTCTAATGAAACCAAATTTAGACTTTTGTCGGATAATTGCCGAATTAGGATTTGAAGGAACCCAAATCGACAGGATAGACTTAACCAAGCTGTCCAAAGAGTCCCATATCAAGGTAGCTCCATAATGTTTTGGGACGGCTTCATGCTAAATAATAAAACTCCTTTAATTTCTATTTTTGGTAACATGAATGGACAAATTTATATTAATACCATTATTAGGCCTGTTGTACGCTTGTGGCGAGGAGCTGTTGGTCCAGAATTTATTTTTATGGACGACAATGCGCCTCCCCATCGTAAGAGACATGTAGCAGATTTTTTAGAGATAGAAGATATCGTCAGATTACAATGGCCTTCTTGCTCACCTGACCTCAATCCCATTGAGCACGGATGGGATATGCTCAAAAGAAAAATTCAGTCCCGGCAGCCACCCCCAAGGACACTACAAGACCTTAGAATAGCAGCGATTGAAGAATGGGACACCATGGACCAGAGCTACGTTAATATACTTATTAGAAGCATGGGACATCGCATTTAGTCTTACATTGATGCAAGAGGCTGAAATACGGCATAATAAGTATTAGTTCTTATATCTGTACAAATTTAAAAAAATATATTTATAATACATATTATAAATAATAATAATAAATTGTTAATGCTTTAAATTTTGTTTATTGTTTGTTTTTCAAAACAAACAACTTAATATATAATAAAGTAGTTTGTTACAAAAAAAAGATTTCACTATAGTGTATTTTTATGTATGAGAGAGTAATAAAACAATAAATTATGTATGCAAATCCCTAAACTGTTGATACGGGTGACTCAATGAAAAACAGATATTTGTCAACAAGTTTACAGAAGTATATAGGAAAACAATTTTAAATTGAGTATAACCACCAGGTATAAAGGTTGGAGCAGAATAGAATACAATAGTTGTGAGGGTTACTAATCCCTAAATAAGGTTGCCAGTGTCGGAGTGATGGAGGTTAACAGGTACTAATGAATTTGCAAGAAATGTAAGATGTTTATTTTATTGGTTATATATAACCAATAAAAGTTTAATAAGTACCTACCTATTTGCAAAATAAAGTTTAATTCTTTAGATAAAATAAAACGTTTTATTTTATCTGAAATGAGTGCATTCCACGAAGTAAGGGTTTCAACAATCAAACATTTAATTCTTTAATTCCAGGAATCTACGACAGTAATTGACTAGATAATTACCTTCTAAACTTATTCGACAGAAAATGTGATAGTGGTTTTTCCATTTTGTAGGAAGGTCCAAGTGGCGTATTCAAAATTCTTAACAGTTCACTAAAAGTAGGTACTTCAGTTGCAAGGTGCAGTTTATTGTGTATACTAGTGTTATGGAAAATTTGGAAGTGCCGTGTAAACGCCAAAAATTGGTCCTTTAACAGTTAATGAAAAAACATTAATATTTAATTGTTTTAAATCATTTACAGACAAACGTTTATGTGAAAGTGTTGATGAGACCGTTATGAGTTAGTTAGCAGTACACTTGGTGTTGGGAAATCTACGATTTACAGAGTTATTAAAGAAGAGAAATGTGGTAGTTTTCAAATGCCACGTAATGCTCCAGGAAAAGAAAATTTCAAATAGAATATCATTTTAAAGAAGGACTTCGACGGAAAGTGCATGAATTCTTCTTTAGACAAGAATTTCCAACATTGGATAAAGTTCTTGTCTCAGTTTGAGAAGATAAGGATTACCCAGAAATGAGTCGAAGTACGTTATGGAAACTTTTAAAAGAAATAGGCTTCCGCTGGAAAAAGAATCCCAGAAAGTCTATTTTATTAGAAAGAAGCGATATTGTCATATGGAGAAGACATTTTCTAAGAACCATAAAGGAAATGAGAAACCAAAAAAGAAAAATATTTTATCTTGATGAAACATAGATCAACGAGGGTCATACACCAAATAAATTTTGGCAGGATGAAACTGTTACAAGTTAAAGGCACGCTTTTGTAAATAACTTATCTACTGGTTTAAACCCACCATCAGGAAAGGGACGCAGGCTGATAATAGTACACATTGGCAGTTCAGACGGTTTTGTTGAAGGTGGTTTATTAACTTTTGAATCAACTCGTACCGGTGACTACCATGAAGACATGAACGCTGATGTCTTTCAAGAATGTTTCGAACAAATGATAGATCTTCTTCCTAAGAACTGTGTAATAGTAATGGATAATGCAAGTTATCACTCCAGACTTATAGAAGGACTGCCCACAACCAAGTGGTTAAAAAAAGACTTGCAGAATTGGCTGAGTTTAAAAAATATTACGTACCATCCCGGATCTATAAGAAAGGAACTTTATTCGTTGTGTGCCCTTCATAAAGAAAAATTTAAAAAATACGAAATTGATGAAATTGCCAAAATTCGTGGAATGACAGTACTTAGATCCCCACCATATCATTGTGAATTAAACCCGATTGAACTGGTATGGGCACAGATAAAGAGTGAAGTTTCAAGAAAAAATACCACTTTTAAAATTCATGATGTTAAACAGTTGTTTTTGGAGGCCGTAAATAATGTAAAACCTGAAAACTGGGAAAAGGCAGTAAATCACACTATTAAAGAAGAGGAAAAAATGTGGAAGCTGGACGATATTACTGATAAAATGATCGAGCCAGTTATTATAAATCTTGGTTCTGAAAGTTCATCTTCTGAATCTGATTTGGATTTGTAACAAGTAGCTGTAAGTTTTATATTAATATTTTTATTCATCTATTTAACATACCTTAGATGGTTTTAAAAACTCTTTTTCTCTTTTGTAATTTTTAAAAATTAAAAAAAATATGAATTTTTTAAAACCCTTTTTAATGTAGGCCAGTCAGTTCTAATATAGTGTGTGATAAAAGAGGTCACTTTTGTTTACATACACATAACACTTTATAACACTGAAATAGTTCATTTATTTTTTACAATTAATCAAAGTAATTTTTCAATTAATCTTGAGCACGCCCATGGAGTGGTCGAAGGTACCAGTTAAAATTATGCTAATTACTCTCTCGTTCATAAAAATAAACTATAGATTTGGTGGAATCACATTTTTGCAAAAATGTGATTATTCAAAACATTTTAAAGTTTGTATATTATTTTATTATATTAGGTACTTTTAAAATAAATACGTACCTACTATGCCCAGAATTGCTTAAAGCCGACAAAAACACCCATTATGCAATTTAATTTCCTTGAATGGAATTTGCAATAACAATATCTGAAAAAGAAATGATTATACATTACTAGTAAACAACTAATTGAAAAGATGTATATGTAATGAAAATGTAGCAAAAGAAAGAAATAAGTGGAATATGAGTCCACACATAAAATTATAAAGAAAAGCAATAAAGCGACCCGGTGTCTGCCCCAAATAATTCACATTAACCCAAATTAGAGTGCCACAGGCGATTATACATGCCAGTACGGCAGCTTCTGCTGACTAACTGGTCTTATGAGAACTAACTGGTGTTATGAGTTATATCATCCTGATGCAAGGATTCAGATACACCAGTTATACAAACAATCTATCAGGACTTCCAAACTTTGACAGTTTGTAGCGGCCATATTTTTGAACCTATATCGGTCAAGTTAGTTGTCATTTATTCAGTTTGTTTTAACACATTACCATTTATAGACATAGTGTACAAAAATATTTGAAAATAATAAAATTAATTTATCAAAATGGATGTTCTGTTCAGGCAACGTTAAGCGCACTTTGCCCATCCATAATCGTCCTACCGACTTAGGTGTGAATCCATACAAAATTTACCTAATCTAGGAGTTGAAGGTTGATAACTAGTTATAACAATGGTTCAAGTAATCATTTAGAAAATTTACTAAGAATCTTATGTTTTTTTTATATTATAGCTTCTATTAAACATTGAACATGGTGAGCAACTGTCGGTAAACATATTTGCTGAAGGAGTTGGATACTCAATTCTATGCGAGCCCATCCTGCAGCCAGAATATAGCTTTGGCGCTCAATTAACTCACAGAGTTGCTAAAATTCTCATTAATTTAACAAATCTTGGAAGAAAGTACTATCGGTTATTCTGGACTCAGAAACCATTAGTAAAAACATTTAAAGAACTAGAAGATTTAGAAAAATTAATGTAAGTAGTTGCACAATACACTTTTTCTTCTTTTTACTTTTTTTTAATTTGTTATTATAAACAATATTTACTACCACTCCATCTTTTTCGCACACGTCGATACTTTTTTATCATAAGATTTTTATTTTGAAGATTATTAAGTATTAAAAACAATGAGAAAACAAAAAGAAGTGAAGAGGAGAAGAAAATTGCAATATCTTAATATAATGCTTATAGAAAAATACGGCATTTCTCGTTTTACAAGGGCAAAATAATGAGAAAATCGTGAGAAAAAGGTAAATACCTATCTTGAACAATAAATCTAAGAGAATTTGAGATGATTACATCTCAAAACAAGTCTTTAGAGCAGTTGTTTCAAAAGTTAGAGTGGCCATGATAATTGACAAACTTCTTAATGGAGATATGGGAATGACTATATATATATATATATATATATATATATATATATATATATATATTATATATATATATTCTTAATGATATATGGGAAAATTATATCCAGGAGCTCTTCCATGACGAAAGATCCATGAGTGAAGTTTATACAGACGACCAGCTGACTGGCACTTCAATCACCAAAGAGGAGATAGAAAAAATCCCGTCAGAAATACTCAAATTACTAGATGAAAGGGAATTTCAGCACTACACAAAATATTTAATGTAATTTATGAACTGGCTGCTATGCTCAACAGTGGTTACGCTCTACCTTTATTCCCCTGTCCAAGAATGTCCTTTATTCCCCTGTCAATGCAAAAAGATGTGAGGATCACAGACTCATTAGCCTGATGAGTCACACTTTAAAGATATTTTTAAAAATACTACATCAAAGATTATGCAAAAAATGTGAATGGGACATCAGTGATTCCCAGTTCGGGTTTAGGCAAGGTTTAGGAACACGAGAAGCAATAGTAGCAACACAGGTGCTGGTCCAAAATTGTTACGATCAGAGAAAGGATGTGTTCCTATGCTTTTTAGATTACCAAAAAGCGTTTGATCGTGTTCAACACCACAAGTTAATGCAGATTCTCAAGAAAGTTAAAAATAGACAATTCTATATCCAAACCCCATACATATAAGAAGAGGCGTTCGACAGGGATGTGTGCTTTCCCTCTTTTATTCAACATTTATTCGGAAGCCATATTTCAAGAGTCTTTGGAGGATGCAGAGATGGGAATCAAGGTGAATGGAGTATTGATCAACAACATACGATATGCTGATGATGGTGTCTTAATTTGTGACAACATAGTCGATCTTCAACAACTTGTCACTATAATCGGAGAATACAGTAAGCGAATGGGATTAGAGATTAATACCAAAAAGACCAAATTTATGATTATCACCAGAAACTTAGATGCACTTGAAAACTCCACCATAACACTGAATACTAAGTCCATTGAAAGAGTGAGTAAATTTAAATGCCTGGGATCGTGGCTTTTTGAAGACTGGGCATCGGACAGGGAAGTAAAATGTCACATTGAGCAAGCTCGACAAGCTTTCGTAAAATTCAAGAAAGTACTGACTTGTTCAGAGTTTGATCTTCAACTGAGACTAAGGTTTACTAAGTGCTACGTATGGTCAGTGCTGCTATATGGCGTAGAGGGCTGGACACTCAAAACGAGAGATATAAACAGATTAGAAGCTTTCGAAATGTGGCTTTATCGCTGTATCCTAAAAATACCATGGACAGCGAAAATCACAAATATAGATGTCATTAAAAGAATAAATCAAGAACGCCAACTTTTCGAAACCATCAAGAAAAGGAAAACGGCGTATCTAGGTCACATCATGCGAAATGAAAAATACCAGTTCCTCCAACTTATAATCGAGGGTAAAATTGAAGGCAAGAGAGGAATGGGACGCAAGAAAATGTCCTGGCTCCGAAACATAAGGCAATGGACAGGGATTAACGACATGCAATCTCTGATACATATTGCAAGAAATAGAGAATTAATGGAAAATGTGATCGCTAACATCCATTAGTGGATTAGCATCTGAAGAAGAAGAATGGAGATAACACTTTAACAAAAATAAATCTATGACCAGTATCAATATTAGCGAAGTTAAACATTTGACTACGTTGTATCTTTTGTTGGTTGACTTCCGATTCCTGAAATTTCTAAATGTGTATTTATACTGTGATTGGTCGAAAGCAATAATATTTATTCTTAATAAGTTTAATGAAAATACATTGGAGTCTTCCATGTGTAGTTGTCTGTTTCCCATCGGACGCGTCTACAGGTGGTGGATAGGGGAACGCCCTAACCGGTCCTAGGACCGGTGGGTAGCTGGGAAATAAAAATACCAACCACGAACCAAAACAAACTAAGGTATGACAACGCTAACAGAAGAGTCCCTGGCCCTCCAGGTTGGGGTTGGGCTACAGGCCGACAATATTTTCCTGTAAAAAAGCATACATTATAAAACGACTGGACTGCAAACGAAAAATGGAACAGATTAGGAACATGGAATACCAGAACCCTGTACCGAATTGAAGCACTCAGATCTTTACAAGTATATAGACAGTATAGTTAACATGTACAAAGTAAATGTTTTAGAACTGCAGGGAATGTTGTGGACGGAAACTGGCACTCTTGATAAGAGAGCTCATTCTATATATTATACTTCTGGCAAACAAACCTGAGGACTAAAAGAACAGTCCTTCGAATACCTATCATATCTACCCAGATATGATATTAAGATTATATTAGGTGACATGCATGCAAGAATAGGACAAGAGTGAGTTTTCATGCGCACGATAGAAAAGCGTACACAACATCAGTAGCAATAATGGATTACGAATATTAAATTTAACAGTAGCACTAAATATGACAGTCGCTAGCATTTTAAACACAAGAACATACACAAGGTAAGCTGAACCTCTTCTGATCGAAGAACAACGAGTCAGATTAATCAGTAGATGCAAGGCGTGGAACAGACGTAATAAACTGCAAAAGTTATAGAGGCGCAAACATAGACTCAGATCATTACCTAGTAATCTCAACATTGAGGAATATAATTTCAAACACCAGTAAAGAAAATAAAATGGAAAGAAAAAAATGAAATATGCAAAAGCTGAGAGATGCGACAATTGCAGAACGGTATGATGCAGAACCAACAGGCTAAGGAATCAAAATGTAAATAAAGAAGACCTGACAGACAGACCTACTGGATCAGCATAAAGAAAGACATTACTGGTGATTAGAAAGACCAGAATAAAGAGGATGAATGCAAGAATGCAACACAAGAAAAAAACCAAGCCTACAAAAAGATGATTGCTCGACGAACTAAACAACTGAAGAGAACTACCGGACAAAGAGAATAGAAAAAAAGGATACACAAAAAAAACGAAACCACTTAAATAAGGAACTTAATTATATAAAAAACCTCAACAGAGAGAAAGAATTCAGAGCACTCAATAAAAAAGTTAACCTCAACAGACAACAAGAAGTATTCAAGCCCACCATAAGACAATGCAGAAATCAGAATGGCGACCTATTAACAACAAGGATATTGAATACAAGGATATTGACTAGATGGGTGAAATACTTGAATCAGTCACTTAATATAGAGGGAGAAGAGAAAACACCTGGAAGACGAAAGAGATGAGGTAATGGGAACAGGCGAAAGGGAAGAGGAGCAAGAGGAGGTTCTTGAAGTTAAAGATACAGTTAAAAACTAGCCAAAAACAAATCCCTTGGAATAGATAATCTCCCACATGAACTATATAAAAAAGGCGGCCACGATACCATAATGGCATTACAGCAGCTTATAACAGAAATACAGACACAGAAATCCCTCCCCAATGATTGGAATATTGAAATACTTACGGTGCATCATACACAAAAAAGGAGATACCTTTGATTACTTACCTACCTTTGCACCATATGCAGAACGAATAGTAGAAAAGTACCAGGCTGGTTAAAAGGTGGTAAATTAACAATTCATCAGATTGCAACCCTTAAACAAATTTTAGAAAAAACACGAATGTGGCATTAATACTCATTGATATTTATAGACTACAAAGAAGTCTACGGCTTTGTGAATAGAAAAGAAATGTTTAAAGCAATGAAAGAGCTAGGAATACTAAATCAGTTGGAAAATTCAACAAAATTATCTCTTGAAAAAGTTGAATGTAGAGTACGAAATCATAGATACAAGACGTCTCAAACAAGACAACACATATGTGGAAACCAAATTTAAAATAAACGAGAGCTTAAGGAAAGTCAAAGAAGATAATGCAGAAACTCTAACTATTGACCAAAAATGGGGAAAAATTCAATATGCCCTTGTATCAGTTGGAAAAGAAACCCTCAAACCACTTAAAGAAAAAACAAAACAACAAAACCGTGGATGACAGTAGAAATTCTTGAACTCATGGAAGAACGAAGAAAACATAAAGCAAAAGACCTGAATAAATACAAAGAAATTCAGAAAAACATCAGAAAGAAAATTCGAGAGGCAAAAGAGAGGTGGCTCTCCGATAGATGCAAGGAAATAGAAGATCTGGATAAAAAGTACGATAGCTTTAATTTACACATAAAAATCAAAGAAATGACAGGTTCTAGAAAGCGTACAAAAACGAATATCCTTAAAAATGATAAAGGGGATATTATTACTGATATGAAGGAGAGATTATGTCACTGGACCAATTACATTCAACAACTATTTAATGATGAAAGAGAAGAACTGTCATTAGAAATCACCGAGGATACTGGACCACCAATATTAAGAGAAGAAGTCATCTATGCCATCAAAAACACAAAAGAGGGTAAAGCTACTGGACCAGATGAGGTGCCCATCGAATTATTAAAACTCATCGATGAAGATGTTATTGATGTAATGGTTGAACTCTTTAATCTAATATATCAGACTGCCACAATCCCCAGACAATGGCTGCAATCAAACTTTGTAGCAATTCCCAAAAAACCAAGTTCAACAACTTGCTCAGACCACAGAACAATAGCTTTAATGAGTCACACACTTAAAACATTTTTGAAAATAAT